GCTTCTTCCATGTGGGCTTTGTTGCTTCTGAGCTTGATGGCCGCTTGATTACCTTCAAGCCTTTAAGACCCCAGACGCTATACTTCTTGATAGCCGGGCACCATCATCTTTCTTGACCACATTTGCTTATGCACCCATTTGGCAACACAAAATTCTTGACAAAACCCCCACAGAAGAGTTACAAGGAAGGGGCAATTCAACCAGAATGCAGTATAGCACTGACAAAACACCTTTCATTCCTCTAGTTCTTGAATGCTTCCCACCACCCCCCACTACCAAGACCCAGTTCTACCTTACAAATCTGGCTAGACCAGAGTACACACATTGGTACAGGTAACAGCTCTCGACACAAGGACAGATAAAGCCCTTAGGAACAGTAGTGGGAGTAGTGACATCATGAGGGTAGAGGAATGGTGGGGGCAGGGAGGGGGGAGACGGGGAGAAAGGGGGAACCCATCACAAGGTTGGATATAAAGCCCAACCCCCAGGGGGACAAATAACAGAAATGTGGTTGAAGGGAGACAATGGACCGTATATAAGACACAAAATAACAAAAATAAATAATTGATCAAGGATTCACGAGAGTGGGGGAGGAAGGGAGGAAAACTGGAGCTGATACCAAGGGCTCAAGTAGAAAGAAAATGCTTTGGAAATGTTGATGGTAACATATGTACAAGTGTGCTTAATATAATTAAATGATGGGCTATAGTAAGATTTGTAAGAGCCCCCCAATAAGATGAATTTTTTAATTTATTAAAAATAAATAAAGGGCCCAGCTGATAACGTCAGCAGTACAAATCCACCAACTGCTCTAAGAGAGGAAGATAAAAAGCAGTTTGTTTCCGTGATACAGCCTTGGAGCCTCTACGAGTGAGAAATGAAGGCAGAGTTTAGTTTTTGGTTTATACATTTGGCAGTAGGGTAGTCTGTTATGTTAATGAGGTCATATAATTTAGGGTGTCTTTAAAACCAATTGCTTTGAGACTCAAAAAGACCACATTAGGTAAAGAAACATGAAAGAGCAGATGGGAAAAAATAGTTGCCCCATCACATGAAGATCATGAGGGAACGAACAGCAACTGAAAAACAAAGATGTTCACACAGAGCTGACAGAGGGAGACGGGTTCTCTTGAACTGCTGCTCCAAATTCAGACTTCCAGCCTCCAGTTTAAGCGCTGTCAAGTCTATTTCAACTCCTAGCAACCACCTGTCAACAAAGAAGAACTCCAGTTTTTTAGTTTATAATCCTATTCTATCTATATCCAGAGCATACAATTTGACTACATGAAGAATGAAACATCAGAATTCTAGTAAGACCCATTGATAACCCTGGATATGCAGATGACACAGCTTGCCTGTTGAAAAAGAAGATTAGGTGCACTTTTATTATTATTATTATTTTTTTTTTAGGAGCACTTATTGACGAAGATCAAAGGTTAAATACAGCCTTCAGAATGGATTACCCTTGAACATGAAAAAAAAATCTTCATAACTGGACCAATATGCAACACAAGGATAAACAGAGAAAAGATGGAAGTTGTCAAGGATTTCATTTTACTTGGATCTGCAATCAGTGCTCACGTAGGCAGCACTTGATATATACCAAATGATGTACTGCACTGGGCCAATTCAAAGGTAAGCACCTCTTTACTGGGCTCAAACACAGCCGTACTGTGAGAATGGCGCAGGACTGGGCAAGGGCAAAGTTTCATTCTGCTGTGAACTGGGTCATTTTGAGTTGGAACCCATTCAATAGCACCTAACAACAACATTTACAGGAGCAGAGTGTCTGTCACCTCCTTATCCCACGGAGCAACTGGGTGTTTAAGCTGACAACCTTTCAGTTAGCAGCCAAGCACTTTCATCATTGTGCCACTGCGAGAAAATAAACTTCTGTTCACTAAAGTGACCCACTTACATTTCTCTTATAAAGTAGCACTAAGACCCCAATAAATTGATTTTTTTTTAATTTTAAAAAGATAGATAAATAAAATAAAACACACACAAAAAAAGTAGCACTAAGAAACTAAGAGAAAGTAAACAGTATGGATGTAGTCTCCAGCCAGTATTGTCAAGGCAACCACTCATCCAGAATTCTCACCCACCGCCCTCCAGGTTACATGACAACCAAACTTGGCTAACTGTTCTTCTAGGTATCAGGCCAAATATCTTCTCATATGCTTATTAGCTATTTGCATTTTCTTTCCTGCAAATTATGTGTTTCATTTCATTTGTTCATGGTCCATTGGTGGCGAACTAGATTTTACATGTTGGATTGCTAAACCATAAACCACAAGGTCAGCACTTTGACTCCACCATCACTCCTTAGAAGAAAGATAAGGTTTTCTATTCCCATAAAGATTTATAGTCTCAGAAACCCAAAGGGCTCTATGAGTTACTATTGACATTGAGCCTGGGTTTGGGGGGTTTGTCATTTGTTCATTAATCAAGATCTTAATGCTTTACAGCTGTTGCTTTGTATATTATTTCTTTCACTATGTTAACCACAGAGAGAATTCTTCTAACCCAAAGGTTAAGCATTAATTTCTATTTTGATGCCTAATAAGAGTAACCTATCAAGCATTTTCTTCTATGTCCTCCCTAGCATCTAATCTCTGATTGTGCATCAAAATAATCTGCAGAGCATCATTTTAAGCACAGATTCTAAGTCTTATATTTCAGAGATATGATTTCAATTAGAAAATGGACGTAGTGTAAAAACGATACACCTAGTTACTTTATTAATGGACGAGCCAATACTCCATGGTGAGCCACAAACACTTTATGTGTATAATTCCAAGCGATTACTTTGTGGGAGTCACAAGACCGAGCATACACAGCTAGAAGACCATTCTAAGTAATTCACTAAGCCACAGTAAGACATGTAGGTTTGAAATGTTGAAATACAATGCATCGTATTCAGGATAGTGTCATTAGTTCGGGCTGTTTTAAGTTGTTGTTGATTGCTAAAAGAAAATATGGAGCACTAGGAAATGGAACTGTTCTCTCCATAGCCAACCTCCGTAGGAGAAAAAGAAACACTGTTGGCTCAAAATTACACTGAACCACTCTTTCAAAGTTTATCTTAATCTGCTAAAACAATTAGGGCAAAAAATAATAAAATTTTTTGAAAAACAAAAACATGTCACTATCCATCATGAGATTTTAAAAAGCAAAAGTCTTACCTGTTTGGAGAGTACTAGGAAAGGACAGGGTGACTTTTTCATCCTCATTCTGGTAGTTAAATCCTGTAGCATGGATTTCTGAAATAGAAAGTAAGTTTCAGTCCACAAGTCTGATTAGATGAATACAACCAATCCACATCACAATAGTTAACATTTTCAACAACAAAATCTCTACTGAAAGTATTACAATTTAATAAATTAAGTTCCTATTAAAAAGAATACAATTTCAAATGAATCAGTTTTAAGCTACATAATCTAAATTATACAGGATGCATATATAATTATCTGGTTCTTTGAGTAACAAAAAGAGCAAAAAGACTATCTAAATTCTGAAGTTTCTCATACTTTTCCCCAAATTAAATGTCATTGGTATTAATAAAAATCCTGAAGACCCAATGCCTTTCTCGCACTCCTATAATTCCTGTGTTGCACATTTGTTTTAAATTCTGAAGCATATTAAAAAGAAACTTGAGGAGGGAAAATCCCATCTATTTTAAAGTACTACTAAAGTCATAGTAGGCTGACTGAAAACTAACGATAATGTTCTTAGTAACAGACACTGAAGGTGTTGTCTACTACTATGTGAAACAACCACAGAGCAGTGGGGGTGAAATGTTTCTAATAAATGTTACTAAGGGAATTAAGTCAAACCTTGATAATAATCAGGAAATAAAAATTAAAACCACAGTAAAATGCCACCACATATCCACCAGATTAGCTAACAGGAGAATGTCTAACTGTACCACGTGGGCATGTGGAACAGCTGCAACTCCCACTCCGTGAGCTAATTGGTGCAACTTAGAGTCGCTCGGTTTTACTCTACGTGTGCATGATGTACTTATGAAACTGTGCATAGGATGGTAGTAATACCTATCATAGCATTTTGGTACGTAAGCTGTCCTCAGGTTACAAATGAGATGTGTTCCTAACGATGCCTTTAAGAATTTATAAGGGATTTATCCCAGGTCTATCAGTTCTTGTTCAGCCTTATTTTCATGGCACTGTAAGGTGGGTTGCTAACCGCAAGGTCAGTGATTCAGACCCAGCAGGCACTCCAAGGGAGAAAGATGCCATCTGTTCCAGTAACAACTTACCTTTCTGACACCTACGATTCCGAACTGACTCGATGCAGTGCGTTTAATTTTGTTATTCAGTATTGTTCAGTACAAGAAAAAGTCTAGACTTCTCAATGATTTCAAAAACAGCATGTGCAACAGGTGAAGGTGATTATGATGAAGAATTTGGTGCAACTAAAGATTGGTTCAAACACTTCAAAATGATGGCAAATTTATATAACATTAATGCAGAGTTTCAAAGATAACACCACACCACTCAAAAGGTGGTAAAGGAGGTAGCTGACAGTGACACTTTGAGTATGTGTTGCTCTTCAGTCCTGCTAATAATGCAGACCATGTATCAGGCTCCTAGAAGGCCTCACTATGCCTCTGAGTCCCAATGTTCTGGTGACAAATCACCTAAACTTTAAAAAAGTCTGGTCTGTTCTTTTGCTTGTCAACCCAAAACAACCAGCTTTAAAGTCAAACATGCATATCCAAGGGACTGCATGTCTTCCTATAGCAGGATCCTGGGCAGTGGAAGAAAAAAAGCTAAAAAAAAAAAAAGAGAAGAAACTCCAGCTACACAAAACCTGGAGCTCTGTGGACAAAGCAAGATAAATATTGAACTGTTAACTGCAAGGTCAGCAGTTCAAATCCAACTGCTCTGAGGCTGTCTGTTCCCATAACGATCTATAATCTGGGAAACTCTCTACAGAATCATTATGAATTGGAAACAACTCCATGGCAGTGGGTTTGATATTTTGGTCTGAAATATAGATGAGTTTAAAAACAAAATCCTGAGCAAAAAAAGCTACACCATATATGCATACATAATATTATGTACTGTTTAATTCCACTTAAACAAACTCAAGAATGGGCATGTCAAGCTATATTGTAAGGAGTGCACAGTTAGGTAGGTGGTTGTAGTCTCAGTCAGAGAAGAGAAGAAATCTCTTAAAGGTCAGGGTGAAGGAGCGGATCTCTAAGGAGGGGCATATGTGAAGCCTTCAAGGCTGCAGTTAGGTGCTGCTTATGTGTTATAGACACGTTTCTGATTCTGTGACATTTTCCAGTTAACAGCTTTAAGATTTTTTCAGAGAGGGGTTATTCTAAAATCAGATAGACATCATCTATATAACCCTAAAATATTTCTTAAAGTTGTTTTAAAAACTAAACCAATGAAATATAGCAAGCTGAATGGGAAAAAAACATTTTAATTATCTCCATAGATGATAAAAACACATACTAAAGTTCAGAAGTTATTCTTGATAGAAGCCCTTAATAAAATGGATATAGATGTAAGTTCACTGCTTTTAAATGTTAAGATGACATGCCAGGAAAATCTAAGGCAAACAATGATTGTCTATTGCAAATGCTAAAGTTTATTAAGATAGGTTACAGAATTAACATAAAGATTATCAATGGTTTTCAAATGCCTTCACAGCTAGAAGATAAAATTAAATGCCTCTATCTACAAAAGTAATAAAAAGGATGAAACTTATAAGAATACACTTAAAGGGAAATGTGTAAAATCTTACAAAGAACATTTTCAACACAAAGGAAAGGTAAATATCATTATCATTTTCTAGGAATGCCTGAAGGTGGGGATGGGGCAGGGGAAGTTAGGGAACACTGATTTGGAGGACAACTCTTACAGGTTAGCTTTAGAACAGCTCCTCAAACAACACGATATTAGGAATCATTTTTCCTCTCTGTTTAATCCAACATTATATAATGTATGAAAAAACATGCTCATTTTTCTCAATATTTAAACAGTGTACAGAATCTTTATAATAAGAAAATACCTTGATGGTGTATATTCTTCAAAGAAGTAAAACACAAGTTAAAGCTAATGACAAAATAATACCAAATACATTTTATTACCCATAAAGTTGACAGAATTAAATGTAAGAAAAAATTAAAACCTAACTAACATGGCAGACTTACTTCATTTCTCTAGATCAGGGGTCCTCAAACTTTTTAAACACGGGGCCAGTTCACTGGCCCTCAGACCCATTGGAGGGCCAGACTATAGTTTTTTTTAAAAACTATGAACAAATTCCTATGCACACTGCACATATCTTATTTTGAAGTAAAAAACAAAACGGGGCAAAAACACCCAGTGAGCCGGATAAATGTCCTCGGCAGGCCGCATGTGGACAGCGGGCCGTAGTTTGAGGACGCCTGCCTAGATTCTGCTCAACTGTGGGAAACTAACACTGAGGGAAGTATGACTAGGGCTTATTCCCTAACTTACAACAGAGGGAATCTTGGGGGAGGAAGGGGAAAAAATGAGGAGCTGATACCAAGGGCTCAAGTAGAAAGAAAATGTTTTGAGAATGATGATGGCAACAAATGTACAAATGTGGGCAATGAATGTACAAATGTGCTTTAGACAATTGATGTATGTATGGATTGTGATAAGAGTTGTATGAGCCCCTAATAAAACGATTTTTAAAATGTACAAATGTTCGTGACACAATGAATGGATGTACAGATTGTGGTAAGAGTTGTACAAGCCCCCAATAAAATGATTAAAAATAATAATAAAATAACAGAGGGAATCTGGAAAGCTAGTATTCCATGGTAGGAATGCCACCACTTTGGTAAATTAGAGATGAAAGTCCAAGTACATTATCCTGCGTTAAATACATTCCCATGGATTCTCCCTAACAGCTATGCTGCCTTAAAGTGGTAGTGGTTAATTCTGTCTCCCTAGAGAAGCAGCAGATATTCTTGTTACCTCCTCCCTGCTGTGACACCCATGCCCCCTCATGCCTTCCCCCATTAAAAGCATTAGGTTTCCTCACCTGTAAGCTCAGGGACTTTACTGTGGTTACCACCCACCCTGTGATATATATAATTACTGAATATCTATGTCATATGGCTACCTATAAATGTCTCAAGACAGTAAAGAGTCTCTCTGTGTAGACCTGACTGCTGGGACTGTGGCCGTCCCAGAGGTAAGCATACTACTATAAAATGTGTCTGACTCCTTTATTTTACTCTCTCTTCTATCTTCTATGACTTTACTATGATCTTTATATATTATAACCATACAATTGCACCTACAGACCCCTCGGGTTGTTAGAGGCTGCTTTACTCTCACACTCAAGTACATTTAATAAATATTTATTCAACACCTACTACACATCCCAGGCATTAATAGAAGATCATAGCCATTGGTCCTTAAAGAATTTAAAGTAAAAGCAAACTACTAAAACGCACTAAAAGACTATTCCAATAGGGTGTCTGACATACTAGTAAACACTTGATTCTTCATAACTTTATCATTATTATAAGTATTATTACATAAAAAAGTATCTACTCAGTTGGGTAACTATCCTGGTCTGAAAAATAAGGAACCTAATTTAGGAAGACAAATGTACCTTCTATAATCAAATGATAAGCCATCTATATCCTTAAAGCAGTGACTTAAGACAATCCAAAGTAAAAGATCAGAACAAAAAGTTTCAAAAGACATCTTGAAAAAACATGAAGCATTATGTGTTATAATGTATAATGCAATGTGCAAAGACCTACAGTTAAAAGCCCAAAAGGAAAGACCACACTCAGCATTTCTCAAGCTGGAAGAACTGGAAAAAAAAGTAAAGTCTAGAATTACAACATTGAAAGATCCTAGGGGCAAAATAAATATTATGCAGGAAAGATGATCAAAAGAAGAGAGATTGGGGAGTGGGGGGGTGGAAAGGGAATGCATAGAGACACTGTACCAAAAGGAATCGGTTAACAATCAACCATTTCAAGAGGTAGCACATAATCAAGGAGTGATGGTAATGAAGGGAGAAGTCAAAGCTACACGGAATACATTATTCTAAAACATGCTCCAGGAACTGACAGCAGGAACGGACAGAACACCGATTGAATGTTTTTAATGAGGTGCATTGGAAGCACTCACTTGTCTGTGCCAACAAACCTGGAAGACAGCTGCCTGGCTAACTCATTAGCAGAGGTCCATATTCCTGCCCATTACACAAAAGGGTGACCTCAACAGCCTAC